TTTTACGAGGTTTCATGCCTTGATACTATGCCTTACTGTACTATTATGTTTTTAGTCACTTTATGCCATACTATACTATGACGTTTTATGCCTTTGTATATTATGACATTTTTTGACATTTTATAGTATAGAAAGCTATAAAAAGTCATTGTATGGGAAGGAACAAAAATGTCATCACATAGAAAGGAAATAGAGTTGTTAATTAACCTAATGTGCATTCTTTAGACTTCAAGAGCTAGATATTAAACATGTGCATTTGTATATGTTCGCCGTATACAGCACCTTATACCCCTCATTTATCTTTATCTATACTTAAATGTTTCCCTTCCTTCGGCTTAATATGGAAAAAAAAAATTAGGCCAGAAATAAGATAGACATTAGTAACTACATAGAATTGTATAAAAGAGATAAATCAACAAATGTGAAATAAGTAGAAATAATATAATAATGAAAAAAGTAAATTGTGCTTAAATAATAGGAAGAAGTATAAAAGTAATATGACTTCAATACTAAAACTACAGAGAGTAAATTACACCAATTTTCCACTCTTGGGTGAACCTGCCAGACACAGCTACAGCTTTTAACATGGACTGTGATAACGCTATGTCTTTTCTCTCCATTCCTGCACCAGACCACATCTTGAAACCACAGACCACCAGCACTTATAAAATAAATGGAGCATTGTAGGGCCTGCATCTGCAAGGGATATTTCCTCCTCCACCAACTGTAATTTCGTCTTTGTTTTTACTATGAGTGATGGCATGTCGGTGTCAGTGAGAAAATGAGACATGACTGTGCAGGAATAAATTCTATGTATTGTTGTCTGTTTCATTTGTATTCAAATCGTTTGACACCATTGTTGTGCATTAAAAATGCTCAGAGAAAAAACAGATAATGATGCATGAATGAAAATGTGCTTTATACACAATGAGAAACAGTTTGCCATTATGTGTTTACATTAAAACATTGCTTTTTTATGTAATTCATTTACTACAGTTATTAAATAACAAGGCTCAGTGACAGAGTGAATGAGTTAGAGTGAGAAAAATGAGAATAGGTATGTGTTGGAGATGAGGAAAAGTGTATATATATATATATATATATATATATATACATATATGTGTGTGTGAATGTATGTTCAAATAATAATGACAGAGAAATACAGACATAGGAAGTGATACAGTCCGGGGTGGGTGGGTGGGGGGTTGATTCGGGGCCCAAAGTGAGCGGCGCCACTCTCAGCCCACTTCCGTGCACTCTGCAATCCGTCAGGCTGAGTGCTGAGAGCTCCTCTCTCTTCGTCCTCCACTTCTCTCCGGCTTAATTACAGCCTTGGACTGCCTCAGGGGCCAAGCCTCCAGAAATGGGGACCATGACAGCTCCATGAAGAGACCACTCCAAAAAAATTATTAACCGACCCAGGAATTAGATGAAAGGTGGCCTTTGCCCTTTTGGATTTTTCTTTTTTTTTCTTTTTCTTTTTTTCATCATTCAAACCACATCTAATAATCGGATAATTGTCAAAGGTCTGTATGGGTGCCAGTGAGAGCAAAATCAAAGGGGAGACATGATCATATTAATCATAATAGAGACCTTTGCGTCCAATTTATGTGTGATGAGAGACTGCTCCAAAAGCTCTCAGACAGGGGCAATTATATGACAAACGTTCATGAGACTATGGGGGCAAAAAGAATAACAGTGACCGTACCAGACTTGTCATGTGATCTGTGGCAGTCTCATTCCCAAACAGTCTCACCCCTCCTCTTTTTACTCCAACGCACCTCCATACAGCATGCACCTACATCTCGCTCCACAGACACACACACACACACACACACACACACACACACACACAAGGACCCCCACTGCCATCCCAAATTCCATGTAAGAATGGTGAAAGAGGTGGTTGGTGTGAGTGAGGGGCTTGCACAGCTACACACACACACACGCACACACACACACACACACACACACACACACACACACACACACACACACCACACACACACACACACATATACACATCCTTCTCCTGGGTTAACCCAGACATGCTCTGCAGACCTCCAGCTGATTAAACTATGTGCTTTTCAATCTGTGAGCTTTGGCCCTCGCTGCAGATTCTTGTGCTTTTCCCCGTCACTACAGTAACACCATCCCCTGTGTCTCTGCACTGCACTCAGACAGAATCACACTAACAGAGCCAGAAGAGGGGGAGCTGCCAAAAAAGGCATTATTACATATGAAATACATCAGAAATACATCTGAGTTACTTTTTTCAATGAAAGGAATGCTAATAAGGCATCCTGATCATACATCAGTAATGTAAAGTGTTCAACTGTTTTTCTCCCTGCTATGTATTAACTCAAATGAACCTAAAATATTTGGGATGAACTGACCCTTAACAGCTGTTGTGTTATAATGTTAAAAACAGGGATAGAAGTATAATAATAAATGCAACATTATTAAAATAACAGCTCGCAGGCATTCAGATAATCTATGGGTTTAGTAAAACTAAAGATGAAACTGAGAATATACAGTATGTGACATCTGAGGGCAGGTATTCAGTAGCGAGCAAAAGCCTGGCTGCTGGAGCCAATGCAGGCCACGCTCAGGGCTTCCAGCGAGTGTAACTGATTTGTCCAAATCATCTTAAAACAGTGGAAAATTGCCACAGATTAGGATTTGACAAGCAGTTGCGGTTGGCCAGTGTGGCCTCTGACAGCAGGTTATGTTAAACACATGTACAGTAATATCCTGTGTGTGCAAAAGCACATTCTTCACACTCCCTCTTTATTGAGTGGCTGCTCTGCGGGACGACATTCCTTCAGTACATTACTCCCTGTGCCCGACGCTCTCCTCTGCTATGCTGAATATGCACAGGTGGCTGAGAGACCCCCTTCCAAAGATCTCTGAGCGGAGGAGAGGGAGGAAAATCAGCAGGCTTTTTTCAGCATATGAAACAAATGTTTGGCATTCCACTGAGCACTGCTCTGCTGTAGACCTGTCTGTTAACAGGCGGCAGTACGCCAGGGCTTGTTGGCAACTGATTTGACTTTGGCTTCCAAGAAATTTCAGAAGCAAAGAGGAACTGTACACCTCGCCTCTCCTGCTGTTATTCTTTTGAGGTATTTTGGACGTTCTGTGCTGGTGTATCCCATCGCTCATCTGTAACCAATTAATAGTGGACCTAAAAAAACGCTACAGATGTAATTACTCAGGAATTTTCTCACTTACACGTGTGGTATGTGTCCTTATTTTAAGGACTGCTTTGTAGCACTGACAAATGACCAGAACAGGCCCAACTATGTCACACATCCTAACAACAAGTTCAGAGACCACTGCTTTACTGTATGTGTGAGGAACGGGTACACAAGGTACATTCTTTGCATGACACAAAAACACTGAATACCATATGGGCAGGTCACCTTGTAAATGATGTTCGGCTGGTCGGTTTCCTCCACGTTATGAACAACACTGACTGTGTAGACTGACAGCAGCAGATCTTGAGGATCAAATATTTTTTCACTTACATCCAGCTGACGTGAAACTTGTTTATTATAAAATAACGTCACTTTGAATCTACTTTGTTCCATCTACAAAACTCAGCCCGCAACAAGCACCAAGTCTACAAAGGGAGCCCTAAATGACTTTTTGCAACCTTCTGAAGCCACTGTTCTGCAGAATACCAAGATTTTAAAACCTGCACACAAGCATATATAAGGAATATGTAAAACGTCTTACAGTTTATACAGTAATAATTGATATTACATATAGGTGTGCAAAATCTTTTATAAATTGATGGAGGAAGTCTATTATACTTACAAGTTTGAAAAGTAAAAGTCCTCATTATTTTGGATGATGCACATTATAGTATTACTACGGATAAATTCATGTGTAAGAAGTATTGTTATATTCCAGATGGTCAAGATGGAAACAATTACACACACTGCTGGGTTATTTCATCTACAAAAATGCACCGTATTTAATAACGATAACTGTTTTTTTTTGTAGCTATGCAAAATATTAATACGCAATGTTTCCAATAATTATGGCTGTAAATAAAAAAATAAATGCAGTGTGAAAGATGTATAAAGAGGAAGGTAAAGTATACTACTTGAGTAAATGTTCTTAGTTACATTCCACCATTGCTTTTGTATTCATTCAGTGTTGTAGCTTAAACGGTATCAAAAGCTTGAAATAGTCATCTTATGTATGGATTGGTCACAGTTTATGTGCTTAAACCATATCCAGGTCATGCAGGGTCATGTGCAGGAGCCTCTTGGGTCTCAAGAGCAGTGGACATACACAAGCATATACAAACATGTATGTGAACACTTGTACATAAACACACCTATGTGCAGACCAGCACTAAAGACACACACACACACACACACACACACACACACACACAGAAAAAGCACAAACAGATGGCAGATGAGCCCATTTAAGCTCCCAAAGTTCACTGCAAGTGTCACTGAATCATTGAAAAATGACACACACGCATGTTGGCGCCCCCCAACGAATGAATCCACGCATTGCAGTTGCTTGGATCTACTGTGTGTGGGCTCTTCTAACTGAGACCTGATACATTTAAAAACATTTCTGTGGGTATTTCTCATGGGTTATATCATTATTTCCTAGAATGTGTCTAATAACCTGACGGTCTGCAGTACATGTTAAAGTATATGTAGAATATCCAGACCTCCACTAAACCCCACAGCTAAGGTAAAAAAAAAAAAAAAGTAAAGTAAAGTAAAAATATATGGGTCAATCATTTTTCTTGAAGTTGTCATTTCAAATAAATCTTAAAAGAGCCATACCGTAAATGTTATCTTGTGGTCTGCGTATTGCCCCAGCGTATTGCCCCGATGGTTTAAAAGGAATAACGGAGTCGAGGCAATTCATCAGGAGACCACAAGCTATTCGGGGGTGTGACTACAGTCACTGGGGTCTATATATTGAGATGTTTTGTCCAGTGGCTTTATGTGAATGAGAGAGAAGCTGCCCAGAGAAAAGTCACCGCAGCAGGACAGTGCGTTTCCTCGCTTTGACACCATATGCTCCCAGACGCCGGAATGGATTCCTGTTTTCGCGCACTTTGCATGACTTTTGTCCTTGCCTCGTTCAGCCGGAGGTCAGGTGCGGTCGGACCGGTTATCAGATGCGAGCCATGTGATGTTGGAGCGCGGCTTTTGTGCAAACCTCTGCCCAAGGACTGCGCCGAGAAAGTCCGCGAACCGGGCTGCGGCTGTTGCATGACTTGCGCGCTGAGCTTCGGTCAGCCGTGCGGCGTGTACACCGGCAGATGTGGCTCCGGACTGACTTGTCAGCATCAGCCCGGTGAGACGAAACCTCTGCAGGCTCTGCTGGAGGGACGGGGGATCTGTGCAAACGCTACAAACAAGAGAGTAGCCGTCAGACCAACACCTCCGGCCAATGAACTGCCAGGTAAATCTCACGCCATCGACAACTTAGTCACTGGACATTAATGTGCAATAACTTTACGGACTTTTATTTGTTAGCTTCCTGAATCTGAACGCTTCTCATCACGACACAAGTTGTGTTGATAAGACATAGAGGGGAAGTGAGATACTTTTTGTCTCTGATGTCAATAACTGACATCACTCATTACATTTTCTTCATTTAGGGAAAGAAAGGGTGCAGGATGAGACAAGTTGAAGCACATTTAAGAAAGATTTTTGACCCCTAGTAGAGACTTTGTGCAAAAAAAAAGAAAAAAGGACAAAATCAGAAGGGTGAGAACCTCTCTGAATCAGTTACCTAAGACTGAAAGTTGATTTTTAGGATCCTGCCCTGAGATAGTGTAACTATTTAGCCTGTGCTCTCAAAAAGAGGACTGAATGAATTAAAAGTTTAATATAGAAACACATTTGTAATGTGATAGAAGTCTTATTGCATATTTCTATTCAGTTCCTGCCAAAGCTGAAAGATGGACCTAATTTCAGGAAATGCTTCTGAAAAATGGAACCACTCATGTCCCTCAATCTGATCTCCAGCTTAAAAAGTGAAATGCGTTTGACTCAACATGAAAATGTGCTGCCTTAAATGGAAGATTATATATCCTAGTGTACTGTTTTGTGAGTAAACACATGTTTCTATTCAACCTTCAGCAGAAAATGTTGACACTCAGGACGAAGAGCGGAATTCCACCGGCTCAGGCCTTCAGATCTTGTACAGCACCCACAGACCCATGGCACCCCTGAGACCTCCGCTTCACCCTTTCTTCTCCTCTGCCAAGTCAGAAGTCCTGAGACGGGAGCAGCAGAAGAGAACCCAGAGCTTTAAAATGGAGGAGCTCCCGGGACCACTCATCACAGACCAACAAAACTTCTCTCTAGAAACCAAACAGGAGCCTGAGTATGTAAGTACCACAACCAATATTTTTCTGTCTTCAGAGCACACTGGAGGAATGTTTTTCTCCTCTTCCTCTGTGTTTTGGTGTTTTTCTCCCCCTGCGGGTGATGAAATGTTTTGGGTAGCGGTGCTGACGGTTGGCAGGCATCGTCGCGAGCAGTAGAATGGCATGGAAGCGAGCGGGTACGATGGCCCTGCGGCTGACCTGGGTCAGGCGGTTGTTTGGCCACAAGGCGTCCGCGTGCCGGGCGTACTGAGAGCCAGCAAATGATGGATTGGCCTATGTGAGTGCCTGTTGGGAAGCCCTGCTGCTATTTTGATCTTCTCTTTGGACAGAGAAGTGAGCACACACTAGTAATGGGCTTTGACTGGCTGCTTTGATTAGTGACTGGAGTACTTGGACTTGAGGACAAGCCTTCTGGCTCCCTCTTTGAGCTCTTTGAATTCACTTTATCCCCCATCCTTTGTGTAAAGTGTAAGAGTTCTAAGCAGCTTTGGCAAACTGTTAAGCCCCTACAAGTCGGTCAGATGAATACAATTCTCATCCGTCACCTCTTTTCATATTGCAGCCACCATTGTTTAAGTATTACAGCAGAGCAGTGTGTGATGCGGTGTGAGCCAGCTTTGTTAACGTCTTTATTTACAAACCCCATCACATTTGTGTCAAAGTCATGCTGCAGAAGGAAATACCTTGAGCTAATGGCATCAGCTTGCTTTCAGATTTTCTGAAGAGCTTTCATGTTTGAGCTGGAAATGAAAGTATTTCAAGTACTGGGGAAAGTGCAGTAACTTCTCATGTGTTCCCTCATCTGTAGGGTCCCTGTCGGAGAGAGATTGAGAGCATTCTCAGCAGCCTCAAGATTACAGACATTCTCAACCCCAGAGGTTTCCGCATACCAAACTGTGACAAGAAGGGCTTCTATAAGAAAAAGCAGGTAAAACGGCACATTCAAAGCACCATCATTTGATACTGACTGCAGGATAATTATAGGTTCATGCATCGATTTCATGAGAGGCTACGCATTATTATTAGATCTAAACTTTCAACCTGTTTAATAGGTTTAAAAGCTGCAAAAATGAAACCTGCACTTCCTTTTTTTTTTTTTTTTTTACAGGATACATTAATAAAGATTCAATGCTCAAGTCTAGTGACTCAAACTTTAGTTCTCCTGCAGCCCAATTACAGATGTGTAGCTGTCCTCCTGTATTCATTGGTAGTTATTAGAGCCTCATCATTGCACCACCACACCAGTGAGGTAGACCCTAGCCACTGACTCTGGAGACAGGAACCACAGGGGCCAAACCCCAGTGGGGTTGACGGCTGGGACGATGGCCGTTTAACGGGAACCCTCCCAGGGAGACAGACGTCAAGGTGGCCACCGGCACCCGATGCGCTCGCCCCATAATTGCTGGACTTTTGAGAAGCAGGCACAGAAATAGAGCTGCAGCCATCCCCACGCTCACATGGTTCACCCACGATCGGGTTGTAATAAATGAGTGGTTCTGACGCATTCATATGGAGGCACTTAGGGCTCCTGTGCCACTGCATCACCGAGGCAGCTTTTCTTATTACATAGCAGTCCCTCCTGCTTAATGGAAGTGTTCGCTTTGACCTGCAATCATCTCATAACCAGCCTCACAACGCCAGGCTCATTGTCTTTGTTTATGTAGAATGGACCTAGTGTACCGTGCTGAGCCCTCAGGCGCTGAAGGAGTGGCAGACATTTCATGTTGGTCAGTTTAATTTGGACGTTTGCATGATTTTAAGCAAAAACATCTCTTATTACAGCTCTTAATAACAGTAAATGTCTTTTTAGAGAAAAAAAATATACCCAAGGCAGACTTCATGCTAGGAGCAGATCCACTTTTCTTAAGTAAATTGGGCTTAAATTTTTGATGACCACATTAGTTTCCCTACCATATGGTTTGTGATACTTTTGTTTTGCAGCTGAAATTTTAAATCCGTTATGGCACATTTTTGTCCTCACAAAATGTAGTGGAGATAAGACATTTTGTTTTCAAAATTTAACACATAATGAACCGTCTCCTTCCAAACTTCCCAAGCAACAGTGGCCTTATAGAGAGAGAGAGTGCTGCTTGCTCTCACTCAGACACCGCTGAAATATTGAACTAAATAAGAATGCCCCCCCCCCCCGCTCCCCTCTCTCTGATCAGCTCTGACTCCTCTGTGGAGCAGTAGCACAGTTGCTTTAGCCCTTGAAATGAATGGCTGCATGTTTTACTAGAGTGGAGGTTGACCTTTAGTAAAATTGGCAGTAAAATAACAGCCCTTGGGTAGCTCCACAGACTCTGTAAGTCATTTGTAGTACCCATAATTTGGAGCTGTGGGGTATAATCAGCAACAGATGATTCGTACTGGCCACCAGCTTCTGAAAATAGATCTTGGTTCTCAGTTGTTCACAAACGGGACTAAGCAAATATTTTACCAGGTTTCTGTTTACCTTAAAGGTCTCTATATGTGTGTGCAACAGGAGGTAGACCATAAAAGCAGCTCAAAATACCACAGCGTGTTGGATAGCCAAGGCTGCGTCGACTCAGCACAATCTGACCATTAATACCTCTTAACTATTGCTGTTCTACTTCATTGAGTAAAGTGGCTTGTTACCCATAATGCTGCATATTCAACTTGGATTTACACATTTAGCAGCTTTTTTTTTTTTTTTTTCCTTCCCCCTTCTATTTCTCTTCCCTCCCTTTCACCTTGTCCCTTCCTTCACTTTCAGTGCCGTCCATCCAAAGGCAGAAAGCGTGGCTTCTGTTGGTGTGTGGACAAATACGGGCAGCCTTTGCCAGGTTTTGATGGGAAGGAGCGAGGAGACGCCCAGTACTACAACTCCGAGAGCCAATAGGAGCGGAGCAGGACGGAGGGAGGGAGGGTGGGAGTGAGAGCAAGAAGAATTGTAAACAAATGGAGACACTGAGGATATTGGGAGAGAGGTCAAGAGATGGCTCAACCGATATGTGGATGTTTGCTATTTCTATCTGTTGCCTGTGGGACCTTTTTTCTGAGGCAGAGCAAAGGGAACAGAGGAAGAGTACCAGGAGGAAAAAGCCTCCGTGTTGCAGATACACTCTGTACTTTTCTGCGACGGATGGATACTTTATAAGCTGTTTGTCCCTCACCCGACCTGGACGGCTTCTGAGAGGAGGATACACTCCAAAGAATTTATCTCAGAGGCCTTATTCCGATTATAAGACACAGAGACATTTACTTGTACTTGTCACAAACGTTGATGAGAGTGCTCTTCATTTACGCACAATTAAGTGGCATTGCACATGTGTACACGCTTGTGATGTGTAATCATAATTTGTATGCTTGATGATTTGTTATCAAAGACGTCGCGTGTGGTCATGACAACCATAAGATGTATGTTATGTCTGAATATGTCTCTCAGAGTAAGCATGCAGTGCCTTACGATGAACTCCTATGAAATTCCACTTTTTGCAGTTGCTTCCTGCTCCTCAGGGCAGTTGGACTGGAACTGTGCAGCTCAAAACACTACAGTGCATAAAGTTTTTACGCTGGATCTCACGCCACAGAGAGCAAGAGGGACATTTTCTGTTATCTGTACCGTGGTTGTTACTGTTTTGTTGTCACTTTGCATAAGCTGAATTTTTTTCTGGGATCAAGGCCACAAACCGTTATCTCTGATCTCTGTGTAGCCAGTGATCATTTTCATCACTTGCCTTGGTTTAAGTAAATATGCTGTTTGCATGTACAATGCAACCCTCAGAGGTCTATTTTTACTTAATAAAGGCAGTATAAAATGATCCCGGTATTGTTATTTTTCTTTTTTTCTTAGCATGTATGAAACCGAGTGGGGAAAAAATACATTAAAACATGACCCGATCATGATGAATATAATATAATATTTAATTGGATACACATCAACAGAATTAGGAGACTATATACATTGTTTCAACAAAACTAATAACGGAATAGCAGCATTCCTGGCAAATAGCATTCATAAAAAAATCAGGTCCACTGCACATGACCTCAACAACAAACAGAAGCATAAACACAAGTGAATCATAATAAATACTAGAATAGAAGCTAAAATAGGTCAAAAAAGAAAAAAAAAAAAAAAAAAAAAAGACCACAGTGACCCTCTAGACAAATACAAAAGGTGAGAAATGTGTAGCTGAGAAGAGCCCTCAGCAACCCTCTGCTAAACCTGTGGACCTGCAGAGACTAGTAGAGGTAGACAAATGCAGAAGAACCCATCCTAAACCTCACGGTGGCTTGGATGAGCCCTGATATGTTTGTGCTTGGCCACTGTGCACATACTTGCGGCACTTTAAGTATTTCCCCCAATACCCATTGAGGAAACGCCAATGGAGATACATTCAGACAATGTCAACATGTTGAATGAATGAGCGGCTGTGTTGTTCCGTGCCATGCACAGCTCCAGTTTTGAATGAATGAGAAAAAAAAAAACAAAAAAAAACCTGATCCTGAAGACTCTGAAATGGGCTTGGCATAGCTGCGGACCTGTGGTTTTGAGCAATGGAGTTATTTAGTCAGAAACACAAATGTATACAGTGTTGCCCTATTTACAATTGAAAAAAAAACAGGCAAACATATAAAAAATCTAAAAACGACAAATGGTTAATGCTAGGAAGAATATACAAGTAGTGAATAAATAAGTCTTGATACATACATCATGTAAATAAAATGAATAAATGGGTTTTTGTAAAAGGAAGTCAGTTCACCAGGTGGTTGCATGTAGATATTAAGTTAAGAAACATGTTTGCTTTTGTCGGTATGCGTTTGTGTGTGTGTGTGTGTGGGTGTTTATGATTGGTAGCGTGTCTGTCCCTCAGTGTGTGACTTCTTGATGACACTCTGAATCACCCAGCAGGTCGCTTGATCCTGGGATCTTCTTCCCATTCCAGGGAGACACACACCAGCAGCGAGCGGGCGGCCCAACCAGAGAGGACTCACACTGAAGGAGACACAGAGATGGGGGGAACCACATGAATCAAACACCCCGGTAGTTTCAGGTGAATCTATTTCAACAGGTTTAAATCAATCTTTATTTTGTGAAACGCTCAAGTTCCCACCTGCTTGGCCTTGTAGAAGCCGTACTTGTCACAGTTGGGGAGGTAGAAAGTTGTGAACTTCTCTCCTAGTTTCTGCTGAGAGCTGGCTATCATGTCCAGTGCGTTGTGCAGTTCAATGTGACAGGGTCCCTGTACAAAAAAGAAAGACAAACAGTGAGAACTACACCCACACATCAACATATTATAACTCCAGTTATCTCTCTGGAACCATGGTCCCTCAAAACCAAGAGCTCCCTCTTGTGGAAGGAAGGTATATTTCGTTGAATCATCTTTATCAGTCCATGTTTTCTCCTCACCTGTTGTTCCAGTTTGTTGCGGATAGCATTGACCTTGGCCTTGATGCTCTCTTGGCCCTCAGCAGTGTCATGGTGGTCAAAGGGAAGGTTGAGGCCCAACAGGTAGTGCAGGGAGCCATGGTCAGGGAGTCCTTCAGTTTCCTCTGTAGAAGTAAAATAAACATGTTTCAAATGTTTCCTGTTGTGTAAGATTGTATGTGTTGCTTTGCAATCAAAGTGAAGCATTTTATAACCATGACAGTAGGAAATATTGACAACTAAGACATAGGTAAGCCTTGAAAAAAGTAGATTACCTTGGCCCAAGTCTTCAGTGCAGACCCCTTGCCCCCTGGTCAGAGCATGGAGAGGTCTGGCCTCACCCGGCCTGGCAGTGCAGCGGAGACCCTCACCACAGTGGGCTGTGTGAACTCCACAGGATGCACCTTTGTCCAGAGCGCAGGCCATGCAGCAGCCGCAGCCAGGCTCCCTCAGCACCTGCTTACACTCAGCCGGGATGGCAGGACAGTTGTTCTGTTTCTCCTGCGTGCAGGGGGCACAGCGGATTGGCTCCGGTCCCACCACTGGGGATGATCTCACCATGGCTAAAACAGCCAGAGCCACTCCTGCCACAAATGTCTTCTCATATAATCCAGGCATCTCCGGTCTTCAGATAAATATTGTATGCTCTTCCTTTTGGACTTGCTTCTGTGAAGACTGGAGCTTTCTTTCTAAAGTGATTTCTGCGAACCAGCAGTATTTATATGGAGATCTGGCCTCCAGTGGAGTTAATGTTTGACACAGCGACCATAGATATAAAATAGTTTTGACGAAGCTGCTGTAAACCGTGGATGACCCTGCTTGACGTGCGTAGATCCAAGTTCACAAGGTCTGTTGTCAATATTGACTTTGGAACATAAAGCGACATCAAAACAACCCTGTTTTTGGACGACCAAATTACTGATCTGTCTTTACCTTTGAGGTTATGAAAACATGAATACTCCTCTTTACAGAAAGTATCAATGAAGCACTGAAGAATAAATAACATCCACAAAAGGAATACTATAATCCAAGGAGTTATAGGCTACGAGATAATGACTGGTGATTAGGAAAACTGACTACTGTTGTCAAACACTTATTTTGTCAAGTAATGCTGACCGATATTTTGATTTGACACTGTTTTGACACTAAAACCCTATTTGTCCCTGTAGTGTCTTTGGTGAAGGTTCCTCTTATCAGGCAGACAGATAAACAAGATCGTTCGCCTTTAAAATTGCATAACCCTAACATTATGAATCGCTCTGCTGGAATCACAACATGTTTGTCTGAAGAAAGACGGTAGTAACCAGTTGTTTCCTTGGTGTAGTATCGGTCATAATTATCTATGGCAAACGTCAAATACCTCGGCACAGGCTATGTGTGATATACACACACCAACACTGCTTCTGCTGTGGACTCTATATGATCCATTTTGTAAGATCTTTGTTTAACTGAACACAGAATTCCTGTTATCCAACCCCACTGACTGAAAATGTAACATGTGAACAACAAATAACCCCCTCCCCCCCACAGTAATAACCCTTGAACCAAGAAAGACTAATAAAGTGATCTTGATTAAATCAAATATTTTTTAATATTATTATTTACACTATAAGTTGCCATAAACCCCAGCATGTGTACAAGGATGAGATGAATATTGCAGGGTCAGTCAAGGTCCTGGATGCTGTTGGAGGTGAGGATTCTGGTTTACCGCGCAATGAAAAATAAGATTGTATGGGTTGTGTGTATACTGTACAATTATTTGATAGGAAGGTTAAAACCCGTCTTTGGACTTAGACAAAACGTTTTAAGAGTAACTATACAGAAAAAGATTTTGGAATGACAAAACAATTCAGTATATTGATTGAAATAGAGCAGTGGTAGAATGACACCAAGTACAGTACTCTACTTGACTACTTTATTCTTTTACTTCACTACATCTGAGGAGCAAATATTGAAACCTGTAGTTAGTTGCAGCTTAACATTTATAACAAAATCAATGAGCTCATAGAATGATGCATTGTTATGAACTAAACAGTGCATAAGCTAGCATTTAAAGAGAAATAATTCCATAATATACATACTGTATATAACAGCATGTTTAATACTTTAAGTACATTTTTTGTTAACACAGCCCTCTTCTCACAGTAAACATTTTAATGCAGAGCTTTTACTTGTAATGAAGTGGTTTTAGATTGCTGATGTACATGTATTGTCTACTTTTACTTAAGTAAAGGATGTGGATACTTCAGCCAATGGAAAAGAGGTCTTTATGGAAAAGTATTAAGTAACTATTTGGCTACGACTCTTTCCTTTTATGTGTATAGTGACAAAGCATTAGACAAGCATGAAAATTCTCCCAAAATAGGTCTAAAAACAATCAAAACACCACTCTCCCCTCCCTCCCCCATTTAGTTTGAAAATTATTCTTATTGAAATAATAAATAAACAGACAAACAACACATCTTGACTGGCAACATATCAAATGGTAAAGACAAGCTGCACCCAATAAAGATAACCCCTTCCCTATTGCTCTCTCAAAAGTTAAATACACAACTGGCAACGTGTTTGACTGCAGTTTGCAGAGAGAGCTTTGGCCTCTCAGTGAGTATTTTACATGGGCATTTAAATCAAAAGACACCGACCTGGACCAAGGTAAATTGGTTCAGGTTGAAGCTGACAACCACATTTATTAAGTTACACATAGGCTACTGTACGTCTGATGTATGGGGAGGTTAACATGGGCTTAGAGAACAACACACAAAGCAAGAATTATAGTCAAATAAAAGATTTAAAAAAAAAATAAATAAAATTTATATAAATTGCACAAAAACTAACTAAAATATGTTGACAGGAATGGAAAAAATGTTATCATGCAGTGAACTCATTATGAAACCTATAGGCCTTATTGTACTCGTTACTTCACAGTTAATGACAACAAAACTGACATAAACATTGCACATGGACTTTACTCTCTGGCAGTGCCAGCTCTTATTATGGTATGTTTTTTCTTCTACATTCAGTATTCTCCAACAAGGTCAATGCTTGATGTACCCAACATGTTCCACGCTCACCTCGTGAGGCCTGTGATGAGTGTTACTCAACCACCAGTTGGTGTGTTGTTGCCTCTTCGATGTTGACCATCAGGTCTACCAGCCACGGAGGAAGCGGGTCCGCCTTGGAAACATTTTTCTGGACATTTGTGAAAAACAACAATCAATAAACAAAAAAAAGTATAATAATCCAAATAAAAAAAAAAAATAAAAAAAAAAAAAAGGGGGGGGGATTAATCATACATTTCTTAAAATCAAAACTCACAACCACTGATGGTTCCTTGCGGCGCGTCTCGTTTGTCGTCCTCTTCTGCACTGATGGTTTAGGTGGTGTGTGTTTTTGCCATCTCATCTTGGAGATCTTAAAAACAGTAGATCCTTATCTTTTTTTTTTTTTCATCCGAGTTGTATGTTGTCAAATATGGAAATATGGGATGAAAAATGCTTACCTTTATTGCCTGCTCCCTGCGACTGGACTGCTGCCCAGGTGTTGTAACTTCATCACTGAAATCCTCTGTGCGTGAGCTCGTGTCTGACACTGAGAAATTCCGCGTTTCTTCCTGGTGATTGTTAGCAGGTGGCATCGGAACAAAACTCTCTTGGCTCGAAGAACGAGACAGTCGCCTGGGTCTGAGAACCCTCAGCGGAACATCGTCTTCCTCTTCCTCTTCTTCACTCTCATCTTCTGCCATTACCTCCTCTGTGTCCACACCCACTTGAGTCGGAAAATACTCCTCATCTTCCCCTGTTTTGCTTCCTCCGATTTCATCTTCTTGCTCTGACTCTTCCTGGATGGCCTCCAGATACGGCTTCTGTTCCATCATTTAAATCAATGTTATTTTGAAGTACAAACAGAATTAACATGCGTCTGCTTAATGAACTTTCAGATTTTTGAATTGAGACTTCTTTCATATAAAAGTTAAAAAAAAACAACTGTGGATTAAAACTTACATTTTGCTGCTGAATCTCCATTTTGCTGGATGACTGAGCTTGATATGTGGAGATCCTGCAGGTTTTCATCAGCTGATTATTCACATCAGGTGTGGAGGCTTAATTGCAGACTGATGACAGGTGGTGACTTTTTCCTTTTTCAAACATGAAGTGGAAAATAAAGTAGTGTCAACTGACCCAAAGGCTCTACAATATCAAATGTCTGTGTTGTCATAATTACCCATTTAAAAGAAGCTTTTAAAATGGTTATGATTTAATTTTAATCGGACACCAGCAATTTATGAAATTCAGTTTACTTGTCACTACCCTGTGAAAACAGTTGTATAATGTGCTCTGTGGCTCAGAAGGAAGATTTCCAAAGTAAAAAATAAATAAATAACTTGTCATCCAGTGTTTCTAGAGCTTCAGACAAGAAGTTCAGGATATCTCAGCCTCAGCTGAGTCTTAAGTCTCCCAACTTTATGGAAGTGCAATACAAAATGACTGGAATACCCGTTTAAAGGTCTTAATAATTTCTATGCATTTTTTAAAATTTTTTAAATCCTGTAAAATACTATGTACACTGGTACTAATTATAGAAAAAAATGCAAGTGTTAATTTGGTACACTTCTAATACTGGCATATTAATTTCAATTAACTGGCACAACCTCTATAAGTCAGTGCACCGCAGGTCAGGTGAAGATGCATTATGAAACTTGGTGAATCCACAAATGCTCATAAACTCAAAAAAACTGTCTCAGGACTTTCTCTCTGTTTTCCCTAAAATTTGCACCAAATTCCACAGAGTTCTCTCAAGGACACTTCCTCTTAAAATTATTGTAGAATTACAGATCCATGAATTCAAGCATTATCAAAACTTTCAAAAATTTTCTTAGTTGTTAAAGTGTACCCAAATGTAAAAGTAAAAGTAATTATTAATGAATGCCACGACCTAATTCACTCATCATGACCCTTTTTAGCCCTGATGACACCAGGGGGAGTGTTGTTTGTGAACCATCATTTACCTTGGATTCCCTTCATTGCTTAATGTCAACTTTAGTTTGGAGTTAGGGGGTGACGGTGATAACAACAACTCCTTTTTTTTTTTTTTTTTAATTTCTGTAAACTCCTTTGGGACACATTCACATTGCTTTGCACTACAAATTATTAATAACTGACCAGTATTTGTTCTGTTTTATTTAAAAAAAAAATAATTCCAACATTATACTATACTGAAAATGGTTGAGCTGGCCGGGCATTTGTTTACATAACTGTTACACTAAGTGAACTCCAGACAAACTCTACATGAGAGCTGGGAAAACAATTTTGGCCTCTGCTCAGTGTTTGTGACATGGTGACGTTCATCTTGCTATGAGCTGTGGGCGTACATCAATAGACATAATAAAACCTGTCGTATTTTACTGTGTAGAGTGTAACTGTTATTTTAAGAGCCATAAACTAAGGTGTGAGAAATGAAATTTTAGAGAGTGGAACTAAGAGGGAAAACTGCCCATAAAAAGTTATATTTGTTACCCGTGTAGGGGGTGCAGTGCAGGGGGACAAGGTGTAAATATTGTGTTTCAGGTTGGTAATTCTCATGTTGCTCACTGACAGCCACAATCCCCCCCCCCCCCCCTACACTACTTGTTTTATGTGTTGGTAGACAAAAATGTTTACGTTTTTATTAACTTTCACAGCCATACCCTTGTGATATTTTATACACCAATATTGTCTTTATTACAAAATATTCAATAACCCAACTTTACACTGTACAAGATACAACATAGTTTACAGCTTTTGGCTATTTACAAAAAGTATGATCTGCATATCAAAGTGAATATATCTAAAAAGGCAGGTTGCAATCACTGTAAGCTTATTGAGTAAGGCAAAAAACTTGAAACATGATGTTATTTACACTTTTGCAGATCAAGTAAAAGTTTTAAACGCTGATAGAGTTGACATCTGAAGATATCTGAAGCGCCTCACATTTCTGAGACTGTATCTGAGAGACGTGCTAAAGCTCATAGTTTCTGAGGAAAACTCAAAATGTAGCTTCATTACAGCGGTAAAATTCTGGGGTACAGTAACGTAGTCAGACACTGCACCAAGATAATACATGAATGTACATGTATCATTTGCAGAGGTTGTGAGTAAAGGACTGGGCTGTGCATTTGTAGAGGTTGTGTGCTTGTTGCATGTGCTTAAGTCATGGATGTGCTCTCCTCTGTGTGGATAAATGCCTTCCTCGACTCCCTTGGGTGTCTACACGTATGTTTGCACCATACATAGATGTGTATTGGTTCTCTAAGTGATTTATTTGTCATTAATACTTTGTGATTGGTCCAGTTTTGGCATCAACTAGTTTCCATGGCAGCACACACACTCCGTACTAGTAGAACTGCTCTTTAGGTTTTCCACACCTTCCTCTGCTCCCTTCATTGACCTTTACTGCCTCTTCAGACTCAGAGACACCACTGTCTGTGTGTATACTTAACATGTCACATTACATTAAACCATTGTGAATCGGGGCAGCATATGAACATTCAGGAAACCTTATTTTGGGTTAAAAAAAAAAAGACACTTTAAGTCTACTGATGTCTGAAAAACTAACATGTGCCAAATATATCCAACCTTCTGCCACATCCTTTCTCTTCTCTTGTATGGTGAGGCAATAAAAGCGGTAAAACTAAAGATCTATGGAAAGCTCAATACTTTGGTTTCTTTCAACAGGAGTTACTATGGCTGTCAACTCTTAAAAAAGTCATGCACTATTAACTGTAAATATGTCTCAGAAAAAGCCTATTCCATCCAGTGAGCTCCGAGTGTAAAAAAAAAAAAAAAAAAAAAATTGTGCTGTTTCGTTACGATTCAGAGTTAACCACACATGCATACACACTCACAAGTACACACATGCATGCTTACATACACCAACAAAAAAAAAAGAAAAAAGAAAAAAAAGAAACAACACCATTTTACACTGTAAATAATACAATGTATCCTTGGCATAATCAGAAAGACAGTGCAAAAGCAATAGCATGATCAGTCTTTTTCTGGATATCAATGCACATATCCCCTGCACACGGAATATGTAGTACATATAAAATGAAGATGCACATTATAATACCTGGATCTGAGGGAACCCAGAAACACCACAAATCTAATTATCTGGTATAGAGATGTTAAAAGAGGATCTGAGATTCCGGGTATCGTTCTTCTTCACTACGTGTTTGTCTTAGAAATCCCTCAAAGCGAGTATGATTGTCCACATCACCCTGCCATTTCTCCGGAAGTTCATATCCTGAATGAGCATGTTCTGGGTTTGGCCAGTAGCTCATGATTTATAGGAAATACCTGGACAGCCCTGTCTTTTCTAGGCCTCCAACCAGGATTTTCTTTCCTTTTTTCAGGTTAATAGTCCTGTCTTTCTCTCTACACTGCAACATCTGCAACAGCTGCCACAGCCTCAATCTCAATCTCTGTCACCTTTAAGTCCTCCTCCTCGTCCTCCTCACCCACTGCGGGCACGCAGGACGAGGGCAGGCATGTAGCTTGGCTGTTGCTGCTGTTGGCAGTGTTCATCTGAACAGTGCTGCCTAACAGGCTGGCAGCAGAGGAGACGCTGCCCAGGTTGGTCGGGACGCTCGTCTTCCCACAGGAGTGGATCCGACGAGCCAAGCTGGCGGAACGCATGACTGAAGAAGTGATTACGGTGCCCACGCCCTGAACCTTCCCTTCCAGGAAGTATGTCAGCATCTCACCTTTACCCTTAACGCTGACTTTGCCACGGCACACCAGGTCATAGTTGGTATTCAGCAGGCGATAGACCTCTTCAGTCACCTAAATAATAGAAAAGGGGAAATACAGTTTTTATGCCAAGCCAGGCTATAAAACTATGTCATGACTCCAGCTCTGTATTTAATACATACATGCTCTCCTCAGAAAGAAAGTAAGTGTATTTCTGCAACTGTAACTTTAATTGTGATATCTTGTGGGTATTTCTTGCATTCAAATTGGGTGGGTAGGTGTGTGGATGGATGGATGGATGGATAGATGGATAGATAGATAGATTGTAATTTAAGGCGCTTCGGGTACCTGTATCTTTCCAGGCACTCCAGTGCTGTCCATCCGACTGGCCACATTGACTGTGTTCCCCCAGATGTCATACTGCGGTCGCCGCGCACCAATCACCCCTGCAACCACTGGACCAATGTTGATACCTGTGCAAATACATCGAAATGTTAAACGAACACAAAACAATTTCAAACTGAGCATTTTGATTTAATGTGTAATTATTTTAAATACGTTTAATTACACGTACCCACTCTCAGGACAAACTCATTGTATGACTGATAGTTGATTTCATCCAAAACGTCAAACATCTCAATGGCGTAGTCTGCTATTGTGCTAAGATGGTCGTAAACAGATTTTTTGGCCTAAAGAGTGGAAGCGCATTGATCAGTTAGTATCTATTCTCTTCATCAAAATGTCCCGCATCCATTAACGTGCAAACAGAAACACACACAGAAACACAAAATGACATGCCACCTTGGTACCAATGGTGGGGACGAGGCCCACAGCTGCCATGTATGTACTGCCAATGGTTTTGATTTTCTCTATGTCTTTGTAGCACTCCTTATCCATGAGCTGCAAAACATAGATTCAAATAAACACACAAAGCTACAATGCAAACCAAACTGAATGTCCCAGTAAGGCGTGTTCGAAGTCGAGAAAAGAGAAATCCAGCATTTTACCTCGTCAAAGTCAGCAATGATCTCATTCAGGAGTCTGAGGCACTCCACTCCCATGTTGTTCCCGTCCAGCTCGATGTAGAAGTCATTGAAGTTTGGGATAGAGGCAAACAGGACACCTACTTGTGCATAGGACTGATAATACAGATCCTAATAGAAAAAAAAGAAAGAATACAGTGTGGAAATATAAAATATCTCCTCTTATGTTTTCTAATGTTCTTTTTTTTTGTTTTCTGCCTTTTTATCTACCTGTTTTTCTGTCTGTCTGCCTGCCTGTCTATTAGCGAGGCTCACCATGTTCCTGGGGTTTGACATAAGGAAGTGTTGAGCCACGTGTGCGGGCAGAAGGTTGAAGAGAATCCTCCTGTTGTCCAGCTTGACTTTCTCCATGCCATCCCTTTCCTCCTCCGCCTGAAAGCACATAACCACACAGAAAATATACAGAGGCGGCCATTAGGACTGTAGCTTGTTCCACATTCTCACCACACGGGGTCACTAAAAAACCTTACGAGCCTCGCAACATGGACTTATGACTGTGGCATAGTTGGATTTTCAATAGACTTGGGTATTTCAATTTTTGCCTCAACACTTTAAGCCCATTATGCAAAATGGTCACTTTTTTACACTTCTGATGCCAAATAAAACCAAGCACCCTTGTTTTTGCCAAAGAACAGACAGTTGGTAGCCTATAAATACAAATCCTCCATACATAACCCAATAGTTCATAAACAATATATACTGTATATATGTAGATATAAGCTGTAATAGCAACATTTCTACAGTACACTTCTATTAAAACTTACAATACGGTAATGACATTTGAGCCTCTCTCAAATACACAGACACATAGATACACACACTTCCTGACCTGCACAGCCCATAGGAAGTCCAGGCGTAGTTTGAGGTCGAGTTGCCTGGAGTGGAGGGCCAGGGCACTGACAAAGAGCAACAAAGACAGGATGGGCTCATAGCCCCGGATGTGGAAGGACCCCCCACTGTGGAAGAGACCGACACACAAGTCAGCACTGCACTGGACCACACAGAAGACTACACAGGCGGGTAAGAATTGGACCCCCCACAGTGTCAAGAGACATCACGAGTAAAATTTTACTTGTAAAATTATGAAAACAATGATTTTTTTGAAGGGCCAACATGAAAACAAAACATTAAATTAAACTTATGAATTAAAAAGCTTAAACGTGCTAGGCCATACAATATTATATCATTTACTGTTGCATTAACTGTATCTGAACAATATTAGCTTTTCAAAAGAGATCTTTTATCTTAATAACCTCAGTAAATTCAACATAATCATTTTTCAGGGGCACATTTATGATCTGGGCTCAAACAAAATTGGCCAGGCCCCTCGGTACTGGGTTGAAACAGCTTACGCGCTCCCATCATCCCAGCCCACATTGTCCTGTCAGGCTTCTGATTTGGAACTAATGAGCACATGTGCTGCTTCAAAGGGTGGAAAATGAAAGAGTGTGTGGGCTGAAGACAAGCAAAGACTCCTCCACACACACACACACACACACACGTATGCACGCACGCACGCACGCACGCACGCACGCACACACACACACACACACACACACACACCTACATCTCAGCACATGTACAGTAAATGCTCTTCTAAACTCCTGGTTATCTGTTCAGTTGATGCATCAAACAAAAACAAAGCCGCTGCTTGACATTCACAGCCAATCGCTGCCTCTGATCCTTGAATGATGCACGATGATAACTGGATCTCACTTTGAGCTCTGATGGGATGTGTGTGTCATGTAACTTCAGGAAATGACAGACATAAAAAAGTGCAAACAAGCCAAAGTTTTTTGCGTGATTGTGTATGTGTGTGTGTCTGGTGTTGGTGGTCGTGTTGTGCTGTGAACCTCACCCTTCAGTCTTGCGAAAGCCGCTGAGCTCCAACACGGTGACATACAGCACCCCCAGAAGGAGCATTAGCGCCATCTTCGGCAGCCAGGAGATCCGCAGGAAAAGTGCCAGGGTGAGGGTGCCCACCACACAGGAAAGAAAGGCATAGCGGGCACCATCACAAGGCAGCTCCGCCATGGTGTGGTTGGCGCCGCTCTCCACATCAATGATGACGATGGAGCTGTTGGTGTTGGCACTACCCCACAACCAGGGCATACAGCCCACCTATCAAAGACAAACAGGAAGATACATGAGCATATAGATGGTAGGATATTAAAGTAGGGAATACCCTTTTTAAACCAAAAGGAAATTACAAATACAGCTCAAAACATGGCGACATTTTTCTCACTGGTCGGGCAGTAAGGTGGCGGATGACATTTTTACTGTTTCCTTTCCCACTTACCACACAGGCCTGGGCCACAGCGTAGATTAAGAGCACTATGAGAATACAGAGAGCAGTGCGAATCTGAATGGTCAGGCACCCTGGAAAACACTGAGAGACAAGACAAGGAAAATATAGATAAAGGTGACAGACAGCATGAGGGAAACACTAAATGAACTTTAAAAAGAAAAGAAATATTTACATCGCACATATATATTACTATATATGTTCATACAAGGCAAGATTACAATAGGACAAAGTGTTAATAGCTGTAAGAACAGTATGAGTAAAAAAGGCTTGAATGATTGTGCAAACTGATGTGCAGACAGAGAGTGGCAGCATGAGGGAAGTAAGGTGAGTCAAGAACAGAGATAAAAAGAGAGGGAGAACATGAACCTATAAAAGACATAAAGTGTAAAAAATTTTCCAACTCATGTGGTCAGGAGCTTTGAGGACGACCATCAACCTCAACAAAAGCTGAAATTAATAGACCAGCCATCTGAGTTTAAATACCATACAGGGGCTTAGAAAGTAATCTTGAAGCCAATGAATATTGAATTGTTATTACAAGGCTTTATAAAATACATTTGAATATATCGCTTTGGTCAGCAAAAACATAAAATGAATAAAGTTAAACTTGCCAGTTCTGTCAGTAGTAAAAGTTGATGCAGGGATAAAAAGTGAATGGCATTTACTCAAGGTGAGGATAAGAGTGCATCTTTATTTACCTGTACTCTAGTGATATGCAGGTACATGATACAAGCTACTAGGAAACAGATGCAGAAGACGAGAAGGACTAGTATCACTGTGCCCCTGAGTGGAAAAACAGGAGAGAGGAAGATGGCGGGGTTAGTTAGAAAGTCAAGGATCTGAGTAACTGAAAGAGTCAATTAAAGAGGTAAGTGGAGAGAGCGAAAGCAATAGAGAGAGGAAGGGACAACAATAGAATCAGTTGTACATACTGTGGTATGATGAGAAGATAGACAAGGCCAAACAAGGCAGCTAGGATCAGAGAGAGGACCACTGCGCTGGTGAAGTACTCATCAGGAACCTGGTGGTACTATGTGATGCCAGAGACCAGATAAGAGTGAGCAATGAAACAATACACAACAGTGTTCATTCAGAGGCTTCATCCGAAACATTTCACTGCACAGATACAGCACATGTCTGCAGTGTCTGAAGTCCCTCACCCTCTGCTCGCGCTCAGAGCACTTATACATGAGTGTGAGGACGTTGAGGTCTGCCGTGTCTGACTCAGTCTGGCGGGCCTCGATCAGCCGACCGATGTAGCGGTTGACCCGGGTTCTGGGGCTGCTCTGGATCAGGTTAGCCTGGTTAGCGTTGGAACGATTCCTCAGCTTCTGTGGAGCCGTCCGCATGGCCCTCCGCTGGTGGGATGAAAGAGCAATTTTCACTGAAAACGTAGAACTTGAAAAACAGTAGTGTGATAAATAGGCTGCCATGCAGCGCACTGTGTTCTCTGCACTACTGGAGTATTATCATATTAGGAACAAGGGTGAATAAGCGTCAACAATAAGCACAAACAGCTGATTATACTTTCAAAGTAGGACATCGCCCTCACACTTAACTTCATTACTGAATGCACCCCGCTGTGTCTAAGTGTCTTCAGCAGCCGAAGTGAGCAGTTTTGCAAAACAGTGGGCATTGGAGCAAAGCCAGAGAGTTAACAGGCAGTATAGATGTTTGTGTGTATACAATGTGTGTGTGTGTGTGTGTGTGTGTGTGTGCGCAGGAGGGTGTGGGTACATGTAAGTGAGCATGCTGGATGAATTGTGTAGCTCAGTGGCACAGTAGGGAGGCAAAGGCTGAGCAAGGATCACCAGACTGTTCATGAGTTCATGACATGACATGAACATGTACAGCTCACTGACTTCCTTGATTTCTTCCTTTTCTTTCCTTTCTTCCTTCCTCCTTTCCCTCGCCATATGTCTTGCTTTTTTTCCCCCTGCTTCCATATGTTCATTCTTTCCTCTGTCCATGCTTCCTTCCTTCCTTCCTTCAGTCCATACTTCTTTATATTCTTATTCCTTCTTTCCTTCCCCCTTCAGTATAGTCTTCCTTACCTCCTTCTCTGGTTCTGTATATTCTTCTTTTCCTCCTTCCTTTTTTTCCTTCCTTAACTCCATATATATTATTTATTACTTCCTCCCCTCCTTCTGTAAATTCTTCTTTACTACCTTCACTGTTTCTATATATTCTTCTTTATATCCTACCTTTGTTCCCTGCTTCCATATATTCCTCCTTAATGCCTTCTTTCCATTCTTGCTTCAGTCTATTCTTCTTTGCTGCCTTCTTCACTTCCCTGCTCCATCTTTTCTTCCTCACTTCTTTCCCTCTTTCGGTTTCCTCTTCCCTCCTTCCATCCAGACTTTCTTCCTTCTCTTTCTCCTCATTTCCATCCTTTATTTCGCTGTGCCTCCCTCACATTCTGGTTTTGTGTTATTCATAAGGCAGTAACACAGTGGCCTGCAGATAATGACTTCTCCCTACGTTCTATATTGTGGTCAACGTAGCACAGGACACATCACGCAGACGATATGTCTGCTGCACCAAAAATCCTATTCATTCATCCTCTGTCCCTCATATTGCTCCCCAGTCGTGCCTTGAATGCATATGTCATTTCACACAGCTGAAGAGTTTGTGGTCTGAATGTGAAATTACCATTCAGTGGAAGGTGTATGCATGACTTAACCTGTCACCCCTTTTTCCTTTTTCCATTTGTCTGTTTTATACTAATCTGCCTTCTGTCTATGCTGTGAGGATGTTGTCATTACTGGTAATGCAGGTATAAGTGGAGACACAAACATGTAGTGTGAGGGAAAGATCTACTGGATGCAGCAACTGAGGGCAACATAATAAAGCTGGAAGATGATGCTAAATTAAGTTTTCAAAATTTCAACCAATCAGCTCTTGACATACATGTAACACACTCTTGATCTATTCAAAACTGGGTGTGCCTCACACACACTCACACACACACACACACACACACACACACACACACGCAGCGCAGACGTACACACAACTGCAAATCTGGATTAAAACAGCTGGTGCAAGAACTGTACAGATGCCAGGCCACAGGATTTCTTTCCAGGCACACAAGGTCAAATAAGCTCTTTGACATTTAGCCAGATTGCCGGAGTCGCTGACAGTATATGCGAAGGGAATGGTATGTTGGTCTCTGGCAGGAGAAACATGCTGAGGTCATTATAGCTGATAGGATCGTGCACTCTGAACACATCTCACCATCACTCCCTACCTTCTTATGATGTAGTGTACATCCTGTGAAAGCCATATATTCATTTACTGACAGTTGCAAAACAAGTTTTTGAATTACTGGGAATCCTGAATTGTGTTCTGCTAAACTAATACAGCTAATTCATAACACATAGATAAACAATATCTTATGTAACACATAACATGCAAAAACACACTTAAGATGGCTGCACTGTTTCTGCTAGGAAGAGACATAACAGCTATGGACAGAGGAGCTTTTCTTGCACAGGCTAATATCTACTGTATGTCCATGAGTTCACATTAAGAAAGCCACTGAACCAGACCAGGACAACACATTATTACTCCTCGAATGTTTGCCAAAGATGCCTTGGATGTTCTCGGTTGGAACAATGTTCTGTGGAGCTTAAGCTCATGTCTTAAGCTCATAAAAATTTGCATTGTGGAACGGTCGAGTCAGAGTCCTGATGTTAAGCTCACTGAAATGTTGTGGCATGACCTGAAGTCAAGGCACCTAAGAATAAATAAAATAATAACTGCCGTACATTTCTATAGAAAGCATTTACCTGAAAGATATTGTTGTAATTTCACCACTAATGTCCATCTTACTTCTACTGTAATGCTTATACAATACCCTGAATAAGCACAATAAATATTTTGTTGTGGTTTAAATAAAGGGATCAGGCCACATTTAGGAGCATACAGAAATCCAGGTAATTCAAACAAACCTTTACTATGTATTGTCCACTATTGTAGGGAACTCTAGACATTCAGACTGTATATTTTCTTTAGTCACTACACAGCACGAACAAACACAGAAACGTCAACACAGACACTTAGAGTTTATACCTTATCCCCGTCCTCGCAGTTCATGACATTGGAGAAGGGAATCTCAGCCTTGAACATCTTCCTGCAGTGCATAAGTTGCACTAGTAAGTAGCACACAGTTTTGAACTTCATCTTTTTGGCGGGCTTTATATCCGAAAGAATCAATCCTGGGAATATCTGTCACCAGATAAGAAATGGGAACAAGGATTAAGTCATGATATCCCACACAGTAATATATATATTATGTAAGGGTCTATTACTCATGCACAGGCACTGGACAGTATGCATGTGCACTCATGCTCATGCACACACACGCATGCAATCATTATTATCAGGTTCAGGAATTTAAATAGAAAGTGTTACTGTTCTGCTGTCCTTGTTTCTCTTTCATAAAACTCTTTTGGAAAACGTGATGAAGATCTAGCATACGATAAAGGGTTTCAGGAAATGTATGTGTGTCATTTGTAGTAAGGAACGTGTGTTTTGTTTGATACACAAAGTTGAGAGTGTGTCCCTAAGCAGCAGCAATTAAAGACACTATAGAAGAGAGAGTAGCAGCCTATCCAACACAGCTTAGTCAGGGCACATCTCTCTCTGAGCCATGCCTTTGATGAAGTCTAACCAGCAGCTCTATTAAGAGGATTAGCAAAGTCTCCCGCATATCAAAGAAAAATACACGCAACTGGGATGTTACAGGTTCACATAAGGACCACATGTAACCTATGTGCAACCCTTATCTTGCATAACATGAAACCTGCTGCAAGAAATAATGATGAGAGGAGAGGTAGTAGAGAGGGAGAGGAGAGGAGAGGAGAGGAGAGGAGAGGAGAAGGAGAGGAGAGGAGAGGAGAGGAGAGGAGAGGAGAAGGAGAAGGAGAAGGAGGAGGAAGAGGAGGCCTGATAGATAGAGAGACAAGACTGAAATTCCCTCTCCAGCTGCTTGTTGCACATCTGTTGTGCGTGTTTATGTGTATGCACTGACACACACACACACACATATCTCTGTAAGTTTGTCGAACAGTGCAGATTTGAGATGATAGATGCCACAGGCTGTTTTTTTTTTTCCTCTCTCTTTATAGCCCAGTCCAATCCATTACAGGCTGGAAGTGAGATTAGCTCAACAACAAATGTGTGAGAGCTCCATCATACGATGCTGGATCCTGTAGTCACACTATATTTCTATTTGAAGGATGGTTTTATTGTAGATATTGGTACAGAGGTAAAGACAGGTCAAGATAAGCCTGCTTTGTCAACCTAGCCTACTCTGATTTACCACATGGGTCCATTAATATGGATTAGCATACGACCTGCAGAAGCTTTGCTAATGTGTACAGTACACTGTCTGGGGTATTAAAGGGTTCGGCTTAGTGCAAGGACTAATAGGAAGTCTCATCTTAACATACATCTGACTCACAGCTATTGGTGTCATCTTAATCATTTTCCTCATAGAAATACATGCAGTATCTGGAATATATGTTCCTCAGTACAGAATTACAATACGATACCTTCCGTCGGTGAGATGGCACTATAAAGAAGGTTTCAATTTCATGTTTTTGGAGGAAGGCGTTCCTTTCATGACCGTTTCCAGGCTCCACCTCATAGTCTCCATTTAGGCACTCCAGTGTAGATCTGGTGATGTGGACTTTCCTGTGGCACAGACAGGGCAGGCATAACACACAACACAGCTAGTCTCATAGCCAGTACAGCTGCAGGTACATTTGGCACAAACAGTTCTGGGCAGCTCATTGACAGAAGATTCAAGTGTTACAGGAGACAAAATAAGGGCTGAAATCCTGCTCATGCGGGTATTTTTACAAATATGAGAATATGTAAAGATTAAGTATTCTTTTAGTAATTCCATTTAAACTGACATGGAAATGGTCATCTGGCTTATTGTCAGTTCTGACAAATTTTATTGGACTGTATGGTTGAGGCGAGTGCACTTGTTTCCACTGCAGTTTGCCTTGTTTAATGACAGTTACCAGTATTTAAACCACTTGCATCAAGAAAGGCTATTGAGTCCAAAAAAAGCCTCACTTTACTGTAAAATAAGATTTGAAGAGACAATATTATATCACATAATTTCATTGTTCCATTGACTCTGTGTGATTTTAAATTGGTGATCATTTTTTTACTAGCAAGACTACCAATCACTTTTTCTGGAAGCTAGTGGGCATCCAAATAAAAAAATAATAAATAATGAAAATAAATAAATAAATAAATAAAGAATAAAAGTAGATATGGTATATTTGCAGGGCACCAGAGTCAAAGAAAACTGTTGTCCATAGCTGATGAGGCTCATGTTCATATAAAATGTTTAGTACTGACCCAGGTAGTCCTCCAGCCTCCATCACATTGGCCAAGGTCACATCATTGGACCAAACATCATATTGCCATTTCCTGAGGCCCAGCACTCCACAGAGCACCCGACCTGTATGCAAGCCCACGCGCATGTTTAGGTTGACTTCTGTGGCCTCTGCTACTGACCTGCAGGGGCAGACATGGGTGTTGGAGTGAGGTCATATCTATATCGATATCTATATCAGATTTACTTTAATGGTTTGCATTTACATACACCAGAGCACCAAGCAAAATAAAGCGCAATAGTCAATAAATAAATAATAACTGGAATAAATATGGTTGATAAAAAGTTAATGTACAATAAAATATCTATATATCTATATCTATAGCAAGCACAAATATGAACAAAAAACACAATATGACATTAACAAAGACTAATAAAGACATATACTACTAATAAATTTGAAAAAATACACCCACAGATAAACATAACATCAGAAACTCCTATTATCATTGTATAATCTTCATGTACTGATTCAGAATCATGTAAAATCTGTGCCTACGAACACTCTTTGTAAATAGATGTGGCAATCTGTCAGGAAGTGGACAGGGAACACACGCTGTTCAAAAATACTCTAACATACCAAAATAGACTAAAGAACAAAACAGACTGCCAAGCCGATCATTTTTATTTAATCAGTGTTGAGGAAAAAAATCAAATCTTAATTAACAGGCTTCCAGTCGAGTCGTGAAAGTATCTGATTCAGTCATCTGCTGCATCTCTCACTGTCTTTTCATCCTTTTTCCAAACTATGCAGGGTATGCAAGGGAAATAAGCACCTTTTTTATCCATTAAAGTGTTTTTCTCTCAGCCAACTGTAGCTCTGCTCCCTCAAATGTTCAGTGTTAGAATTCACTCACAGCACACATGGCTAGTCAGGCTGCAGTTTGCCCTACTTGAAGGAAATCTCTCATCATGGACTCAGTTAAACACTGGGAATTGAATAAAATAAAAGATTACAGTCTCTTCCAGCCTCTACAGTGTCGGTTTGGAAGCACATTCTATTAGACACATAGTGATGATTTAATTCGTTTACATGTAGAAAAATGAATGTATTTTCAGTACATCAACAAATGTGTCCACTCACGTTATGGTGTCAATCATGTCCAGACCCATCTCTACACAGCAGTGGGCATGGTCAGTCTTGGGTTGGGTCAGTCCAGAAACACAGTAGTAGCAATCCCCCAGGATCTTAATCCTGCGACAGTGGTTCTCCTGTCAATCAAAAAGATAGGAGAGGAGAGAGAAAAAAGTGATTCCATGTCTTCCTACATGAATGATGAGCCAATATGAGCCAGTCAGTAATAATATCCATCTTTATCTCCTAATTTCATCAAACACAAACTGGTGATATAGTGGTGATGCCCTCTGAAAGTATGAAAAATGAAAGCTTAGTTATCATGGCGAGCTAAGTAATTGTTCAAAACATCACAACAGGGTATAAAAATGCAGCATTCCTCCATTTTAATCAAAAAGTCGCAAAAGAGGTGCCTGAGACCGGTGGTGCTGGAGTCAGAAATTCTTACATTTAATTATAGTTTATCCATTACACTGATCCATATCCATCAGTGTAATTTGTAAGTCTAGCTTCAAGCTATCCATTGCTGCACTACCCAAGGTCGATTGAGTTCATGGTGAAGGAGAGATGGCTTTTTAAACTTAGAAAGTTTTTCCTTAAATTGTAAAACTTTCATCGTAACACTGTAGTGTGCAGGACATATATTTTGACTTTCAATAATAGGATTCCTATCAGGACAGTCAATATAATACCTTGGAATACAGTGGGTTTCTAATCCATCTAGGCTCTTTGAGACATCAAAAATGACAAAGGCACAGAGGCAGATCCATTTTCGTAGTAGTGCACGTGTCATATAAAGCTAAAACCCTCTACCATAAAAACCATAATTCAACTCAATGCCTCTGGTTAAGCCAGATGAACACAACTGTCCCTGTTTATATGTGTAACAGCAATGTCAAATAAGATCTGGTCCACACTTGTATTTTCACAACAACATTTTCCAGTCTTTATGTTAAGATAAGCTCAGCGGGTTCTGGCTGTAGCTTCATATTTGGTGTACAGACATCATCTAACTCTCTGCAAGAAAGTGGAAACATCGAACTGTTGCTTTAAATCTCTGTTTCCCCTTCTCAGAGTGAGGGTATCACAACCGCGCAAATGTTGTCAGAAATGGCAAAGTACTCATAGATGGATGTCCCTGGATCAAATTTGTGTTTTATACGAGTCTGGTTTTCTTGACAGCATAAACATTAGAAAATGCCAATGACATCACCTGCTGTGTGGCCATATACACTGTTGCCCATAAAGTTGGAATCATTTTGTTTTCAGACACAATCCTCTGTTTCTTCCTATTTAAATGTGTCAGTAATAACTTTTGACCAGGTGCAATGATTACATTATGTGTCCCAATTACCCAGGTGAAATGAAATAAATCACATTGTCACAATCATTTCATGGAGAGAGGTAAAAAATATTTTATTCCAACTTCATGAGCAACAGTATAGTTCAAAGCAGACAGATGGAGGCAATAGAAAGTTGGCTTTTTATCACTGCTGCCACATGGACGTACCCAACCATATCTATAAAGGTTTCCGGCCGTGCATCAGTGAAGGATAAACTAAGAGTGACTCCATGTAGAGGAGATGCCTACGTGGCCAAATAAATCACTAAAGGTACAAATCAGCTGGATCTGCACGCGGACTGATATTTGCATTGCATGTTCCTTATCCCATGCAAACTCTTGAGTTTCTGAACTTACACCAACATTGAAATGGTTCCCACAATACAGTGCTAAATCAGCGGATCAATCTCACTTTGGGGAATAAGGTGAGTCACTCTCTCACTTTTTAGGGACAATAAGCAGTGGCATGAAAAGGCGGCTTACAAATAGGCTATAACCCATTATTAGAGGATATGAGCAACAGACATTCATTTTACCAGGGAGACCGGGTTACCGTGGACGCCTTCTCATAACCCTTTATTGTTTCCATGGAGGTAATGGGATCGCTGCCCATGCGTGTGAAGAGCACAAAAGACTCATAATTATGCACATCGGTGGGCACAAGACAAGACGGATGCTCTATTTTTAACAAGCGAGCCATGTGAGTTTCAGAAAACAGTGAAAGCTTCGGGCTTGTCAGCTGGTGGCAAACTATCCGCTACAACTATCGTGTAGCTTTACATGCTGTGGTCATGCTTTCTGAGTGCTCAGTGACATGGAGACACGTGTGCTGTTCATGTAAAATGTATTCTTAGGCACAAAGGTGCAAAGGGAAGAGCACTACCAGTACTAGCAGTTTGGAAAAGACTGATGTTTTCTGTTAAAATATTGTCTTGAATATTGAATTCAAAATTGAAATAGTAACTATTGATCTCAGATGAGATACAATAATTATGTGTAATATCATGATTACCTATTTCATATCAACTTATGCTGTTTTACACAACTTTTAATATATTTATAATGCAAAAATATTCATACTTAGAGAATACATGTCTATATCTCACATACATTAAGGCTACTTACTTTGCTTTGCAATATGAGGAAACTGCACTATTGGACCTGGCACATATGTCTTATGTATCTTGTGCTGCTAATTTCCCTTTTGGGGATCAAAAAGTGTATTTAAATTCTTTGTGATGACACGTAACTGCTGTCCTCTACAAGTCTCATTTTCACTTGATAATAAAAAACTTTTCTTTATTGTAACATAAGGGTGTCTTTGGGGTAACTCGGGTCATAGTGGCGCAGTAACAGATGGTGCTACCAACATTGGCTGAAGCTACAGGAAGCAGGGAAAGCCCTGGTACTTACAGAGTCTCCTACTCTGTACTTTTCCTGTGCTAATCTGCACTGTGAGGGCTTAGGAGCTGATTCAGACCCAAGCAGGATTACCACTGTCATGTGACTGATGCATTGTGGGCAATCTGGGTGGTCATCAGTGAAGAGGAAAGATGGGTACTGTCTGTTAGGGACTTGAACCAGACTATGAAGCAGACCTATTTCAATTTCCATCAGAAATGAAGAGCATTGTTTTGGATAATTTATGTCATGTATTCAGTGAGATCAGCGTGTGTGTGTGTGTGTGTGTGTGTGTGTGTGTGTGTGTATGTATTGAGAGCAGAACCATCCAAAGTGTACTGTAGTTGTATTACCAGGCACCTTACATACAGTAATGTGCTGCATATGCTCGCAGGGATGCAAATTAGCAGACACTTGAGTGCACACAGACAAACAGAGGAAGACAAAAAGGGCGAGACAGAGACAAATACAGGGAAGGGGGAACATTTGGTAAATGATTATGAAGGAAAAAATGAGCCAGCTGAGTGTAGCAGCAGTTCATTTCCTACAAGTCTCCAAAGGAGAGAGCAGCAGTGTTTGATGCACAGACAAAGATCAGCGCTGTGTACACATTATTGATGGGGCTAAAGATTAGGGCCCCCACTCCTGTAACTTTGGGAAGCTGAAAGGACACAAGACAGAGTGTGTGTTTGCCACTGTCTCTGAACCTGCGCTCTGTTGGCTTGAACACTGTAGAGCAGCAGAAACCAGCTGAGAATGACTTTTTCTTAATTCTAATTAAACACTGTTTTATGCATTTTGTATCAGGCTATTACATATATTCGACAAAAACTAACATTTTTCCAATCTGCCTTGGCCTGTTGAAGGATTTCACGTCAACATTTCATCAATGTAGGCAGACAGTGATTCATTGCAATGGGCCTCTGTTGGGCAAAATCTTTAAGAGTGCCACAATAGTTCCCTCAACACCCCCCTCCACTGCACTGACTTCTCTCTCTCTCTGCCTGCATGTAAGCGAGCACGCGGTGACTAGGCATTTCCCTTTTTGTCAGCAACTCTCTTATTGAATTAATGTACAATCATTTATGTGCAGCAACAAATAAATAACATATCAACACTTCCTCCACCCACCTCAACCTGGTGGGCAGGAGTGAGCGGGTGTTCGAAATCTGTGAAGTAAATCTATTAATGTAGATATATTTAACAGCTATGACAAATAACAAATGCTCAGCGGCATGTTTTATTTTCATGGATGCGACTGGTTTTCTGAACATTTGATCGGAACAGGAAATGGTGTAAAAAAAAAAAATGGTTTAAATAAATTTGGGCAGCTTTTAACACACTTTTGGACACACAAGTAGCCTGCAGTATATGAGTGTGAGAAATAGCGCAAACACACACCCACTGATATTTTTCTCTGTCTTCTAACGTAATTAGTAGTGAGTGATTGTGATACAGCAGATATGACAATGTAACACAATGAAGTGAAAGAATAAAGTTCTGAATTTGTGAGGCTCACTGTCATAATATTAATAAACACCTTTAGAGAACACTTCCTGTGAGCACTGTAAATAAATGTAGACAGATGCAGCCTTTCCATGAAATCAGTATCTAACTGAGCAAACTCTTATGAACTGTATTGGAGCCCCCCCCCCCCCACACTAAAATATTGGTGTGTGCCTTCAGACTATAAACAGAAAAGACAAATGTTATGAACTGGGTTTGTGTAGTTTAAAAGACCAGTTCAGACAGGGTCTAACAAAAGATGCTAGAGATGCATTATGGGAAGGGTAGCATCCAGTCAGGATATCTTAAACTCCATGTAAGACCCCCAGCATTGTGGAAGGACACATTACTTTATGGTATATTCACTGCAATAGCAACTATCACCATGGTTTTTTTTTTTTTTTTTGTTTTTTTTTTTTGTTTTGTTTTAATTTAGATTTTTTTTCAAGCTGGGTTGTTTGGTTTGGGCTTTGCTCCAGTCCACAGTTTTAGCACACAGGCAATCTGAGGGAAGCTGAAGGACTTGACAGTGATCCCTGCACCTGTTCATGAGACAAACCCAAACAGGGTTATTTGAGTTGTGCTTAAATCCAGACTTTAGTTTCTGGCAGGCAGCTGTCACAGTGTGGGCACTGAACAGTCTTTTTGCTTAGTCTAAAAATAATATAGTTTTTGTTGCTAGCATCTTAACCAGTGGTACTACTTTTGTGCTCTGTTTTTCTTGGCATAAGATTTTGTATTATGTAAACCCGCAGATGTACAAATGATCTATAAGGCCGCTTGAACAGGTTTTTCAAAGTTAACTTCTTTTTTTTCACTTTCCTTGGGAACATAAATGTTTGTAGTTGTACTGTTTTGGGAACCTTTGCAAGAACTAGTTTCCTCAAC